GAAATGTTAAAATAAATACATAGTTTGGAAGTGTGATGATTTCAATACGATAATTCAATATTCTCATAAAAATAAAACTATAGTGCTAACTACATCTTTAATTACAAAAAATAAAACATAAGAACTCAGTAGAATAATTACTCGCAGTTTACTTTGAACACCCTTATTTACTTCTTTTTTTTAAATAGTCATAGTTAACTATAAACAGAAAAGTAGAATATATTTATAAAAAATGACAAAAAGGAGCAATAAAAATACTTTATTTTTTTAGTGTTAAAATAGACAAATAAAAAAAATGAAATAAATCTATAGACTTTTATTCATCTTAAAATTTATGAAAAATAAAATAACGATTGATTTTGAGGAAATAAGCCTCAATTTATAATTCATGACTTAATAATTGTTAGATGTTATAATACAGCCATCTCACCAGTAACTTGGTTTTGGAAGACTCATTGCATTTATGATCATTTTTCCTTCTGAATAATCCTTACTAAGCAGTGCCAGTAAAATTTGTGTGGTTAGTATATTCTGACTTTTACAATTCACAGATTCAGAGAAGGGTATAGGAGAATTTTACATTACCTGAACTACTATAATGTAATTTTTTAAAGGATTTTAAAACAACAATCCATTTATTGTTAGGTTCTATTGAAAAAGAAATGAACAGAAAGACTCATAGCAATTTTTATTTTAGTTTGATTCTTTTCTGGAAGAATAATTTCATTGTACAATGACCTCATGCTTATAAATTCACACATAATTTTAGAGGTAAGTTTCAGAATAGCATCTGTTACAAGAAATTTTATAACATGAGTTTTTTGCCATTGGTACATGAGGTTTTACTTACATAGCTTACATATTTTAGTCCTTTTACTCATCAGCAGATATTCATTTCATGAATCTTATGAATTTTCTAATTTGTTGAATTCGTTCTTTTTACTTAACACCCATAATATATACAAACAGAAGATTACATGTTTTCTTTTTGTCTTCCACAGATTATGTTTTCTAATTCAAACTGCACTAATATTACCAAGAATGTTGCAACCGAGGCTATTATCTGCAAAAGTAGTATAAATTACTTGTTTTTGGAATGTTTTTGAGAATAATGGAATAAAAAATGAATAACCATTTCCAATCTTACTGAATGAATTAATGTGTTGTCTATTTTTAATGTTTCTCCTTCTTTTTCTCGGGAACAAATTTCGAACAGCATCATGTGCTTTATCTGCAGAATAAATGAACAACTTATATTAACAAGAAAATTACATCAAGAACATGTGCTATTGGTCAAAATTAGTACATCACTTCATTATTTTTACACAAATATTGAGGCTATTTAGGTATCATAAAATTGTTACTCAATGCTTATTAAAATTTAAGTACTAGTTTTAGATGAAGGTATAAAAAAAATTTGTTTTCTATCTTATCAGCTAACAGATTGAGGGGAAGGAATTGATTGGTAAAAGAGCCTCTATGGTCTGCAAAAGAAAGAATTATATCTCTTCTGTTCATTATTCCTAGAATTGGTGTCTTGAGGTTTTATTTGTTTTATAAATTAGGCCATTATTCACCAACATTTTATTTATTAGCTATTTTATTACAACGTTTCAACCGTCACTCATGCCATTTTCAAGTTTTATTGAGTCCACCATTAAATTTCCATTATTCAGTGTCGTATTAATTTTTCAGAGAAAATTAAGTTGTCCTGATATTTTTGAGTTCCCCTTACATCATTTCTAGAGGGACAGATTTTATTTAACATATTTTATATAACAAATAAAATGAAAGAATTATACTTTTAGCTTGTGAGCATTTCTGTGGGTATAAACTGTACTGCTTGGAGTGACCAAATCTCATAAAAAAATCATGGTTTGAATAAACTAGGGCATAGGTGGGGAACCTGCAGCCTTAAAACATTTTTGCAGGATATTTATTATTCTAGCGCTAGAATTAATTATTTTTTAATTAATTAGGGTTTGAAAATCAATAAAATTAAGTGAATATATGTATATGGGTGTGTATTTAGTCATAAATAAAAATAGCAACTGAAAAATATTAAAAAATGTTGCACAGTCTAGCCTTACTGCCGCCTCTTATAATAAAAAGTTCCCCACCTATGAACCAAAGTATAACATATCTTAATTGTATGTTAAGATTTAGTTAGAACTTACACTGATCGAGTTCCATGCTTGAGGAGAAGACACCAGTTTCCAGTAAAGTTTGTCCTCGAACTCTACCTTCTGTGTAGTGAAATAAATCAATTAAATAAATCAGACATTCAAAATAATCATCAAGTTTTTTTTTTTTACCTGTTCCTCAATACCATTGTAACTCGATATAAGTGCCACCATGGAGAGAATGGTGAAGACAAATGATGACCAGTAGCATGCACATTCTAGGACAGAACCATCTGGAGAAAGCAAGATTTTGGAAAAGCTGCTGATCCCTATGAAGGCGGAATTGGAGCACCAGAGGAAACATAAGAAACAGCATAGAGGAAGCTGCTGAATCAGGTATGACCTCAGGCTTCCCAACCCTCTCCTAATCAATCTGTAATCCTGTAGTTCTCCCCCTTTCAGCAACCCACTTTGGCATCTGGGGGAACAAAAGTATTTACCATGACCAGTTGGAGAAAAAATATGTGTATAATATGAGTGAGAAATCATAAAATTGTAACTTTTTGCCCTAAAACAATTTAGTCGGTATTTTGAAATTCTTGATTTGGTAACTCGAAAAAAAAAGACTCGGCTGAAGCTTTCGGCTGAAGCTTCCCCCAAAATGGTAAAATATAACCATGTTTTATAGAAAAAAATATTAAAAACTATCTCTTAAAGTATTCTTGTTCCTGTAATTACATTTAATAAGACTTCAGGAACCACTTAAATACCATTTCATATAGGTAGTTAATTTATTTCTTTTTTTTTTCAAATTAATTATCGTTATATGTATATGGAAAAAAAATCTTTCCAGCTGAAGCCCCTCCTCCCCCCAAAATTAAATCCTGGATCTGCTAGTGGTTTTCTACTCCTATAAATCATTAGAATTTACTTGATCACGGTTACTTATTACAAATACCAAAGCTTATTACTCTGAAGGACGGGTTCCTCATCCAAACAAGATTACCAGGATTGATAAATTGCAAAAATAATGACGTCTTTGAATAAATTAAGCGATTCCAAATTTCCTATCTGTCAACATATTTAAGCGAGTTTTTTTTTTTTTTAGACGGTCCATGATAGGATAATATGGATAAATTATTAATTCCGTAATATGCCGCGAGAGTTGCGATGAAAAAACATGATTTTTGTATTATTACGCATGACATTTACTAGATGTTAAGAATTGGATAGAGTTCTTCCACCTAGCTAACTGAACTATTAGGAACAAGGAGTAGATAAAAAAATAAAGAAATTCTGAACACTCAGTCTTGTTAAATCGTTTATCCGCTACAACAATGACAGAACTGTAAAATTTGTGAAATCTTTTTTATGACGTTAAATTGTTAGAGAGATGTGTTTGATCGAATCAACGTCATAGTATTGTATAAGTAAAATTTAAAAGGATAGAAGAATTTTACATTGTTGGATCAATTTTAAAAATATGTTACTTATCTTCGTATATTATTTCTCAAAGGTATTATTTTTTGTACGCCATATCTTCGTTAATTCATCCATAGGCACCGACTAGGGGTTTGCGAGACTTGAGCCCCTCCCCCCCCAATGATACCGTAATGGGCTCAGCCTCCCAACAAATTGTTATAGTATGAACTTCATGAAAATATCGATCGTGTACATTACAAAATGATTACAATTTCATTACAAAAGACTGTATCTATCTAATATAGCAGGTATAGAAGAATTCGTTTAACGGTGTTCTATTTTGGAGTTACAAATACATCAAAGCTGTAAAAAGAAACATTTATTAAAATACTGTATTGTTTTAGTTTAAAGTTTTGGTGTGAAACCCTTTTTTGTCATCAGGAAGGCCATTAAACAGCTTAATATCTGCCTGAGACTGTAATACATTATGTATTACATATAGGCATATAGGATATATCTCAAACAATATCACCAGCCACCCTTCATAATTCCTAATGATTTATTAGCATATTTCATATTTTATTTTCCTTAGTAGCAGAGTACTTACTGCAGTTGCACACTACAAAATTTCACCTTTAGCACAAATATAATAAGCATAGAAAAGTGTTATATACGACATTTTTATTAACGGTAGCGTTGTCATTTGTAAACATGTTGGTTTAAAACATGAATGAAGTTTTAAAATTATTTTCTTTCGCTTTGTCGATTTCAACTATCGATAAAATGAGAACTGATTCCTTTATCTTATGTCAAGTTGTATTATTTTATTTCTTAATTATTTTTATTATTATTCGCCATTTTTCCCCCTCCTATAAAATTGTATTATTTGCAATTACTTCATTGCTGCATTGGATCACAGGCATATCTAAGGGGGAGGCTTTCGGGCTGAAGCCCACCAAAATTGTAAAATATAACCATGTCTCACGAAAAAAGTATTAAAAATATATGTATGTATAAAAGCTTTCGACTTGAAGCCTCCCCAAAATTAAATCGATACGCTACTGCAATGGATTAGCGATATTATTTTACAGTTCACATAAACATTACCTTACTAGAAGTATTTAATTTCAAATGAAGGAAGACAATTTTAAAAATTTATTAAATTTTAATGCATTAGTTCGTCAAACGTTAACTGATAAAACTATATTACAGGCAAGGGCATAGCCAGCTGAAAACAGGAGAAAAAATGTATTGATTTAATTTGTTTCTAATGAAGGGTGCCCTTTCTTCGCAATTAGTTTGCTTAAAAATGCAGAAAGTATAACAGTATTATTATTAATTAATTAATCAATTATCTAGTCTTATTATTAATTAATCGATTATTTAGGCTTATTATTATTAAAAATAAGCAGTTTTTCAGAAATTTGTTGCTCTCCTATTTTAATTTTTTCTACTATGAAAAGGGAAGAGGGGAAGGAACAGCATCCCCATTGGCCTCCTCTGCCCTATAATAGTAGATCCTACGCCTACAATAGTAGACCCTACGCCTACAATAGTAGACCCTACGCCTATAATAGTAGACCCTACGCCTATAATAGTAGACCCTACGCCTATAATAGTAGACCCTACGCCTATAATAGTAGACCCTACGCCTATAATAGTAGACCCTACGCCTATAATAGTAGACCCTACGCCTATAATAGTAGACCCTACGCCTATAATAGTAGACCCTACGCCTACAATAGTAGATCCTACGCCTACAATAGTAGACACTCGCCTATAATAGTAGCCACAAACTTACTGGAGTGTCGAAAGCCTTGTCATAGCGTTACTATGACCTAACCTAGTGAGGGAAGCTTGTCTCTTACAACAAAGACAAAAATAAAAATTAAAAACATAAAAAAATAAAATTTTGAACTGATTGAAATCGGCAGGTTTGTTGTTGGTATTTTGAAATAAAATCTGAATGAAAGAAATTTAATTTTAAAATTGCCTTTTGAGGCCAATTTTAGTGAACTGGTTACTTTCATATACTAGTACATTACTACCTCAGAATGTAGACAAGAATTCGGGACTCCATTGCTTTGAAGCAGTGAATGAAGAGAAGAATGTCGGCTATCACAACTCCTTGTAAGTAGCAGACCCCCAACTTTATCATTATCTCAATGGCCAGGAAGAATAAAGTCCAGCTGAATGTGTACTTCACCTCTTTGAGGGGTGTGTTCATCTTGTCGTAAGTCTCCAGCAGATTAATGAAGTCTTTGCAATCGAAAATGTTGCGACCTATGTAGTAGAGGATGGCTAAACCATTACAAAGATCAGAAATGAAAAACACGCTGTTGTAAAAGAGTACTGTCAATGGGAGAACGACGAGAACTGCCCAAGAAATGGATGCAATCCTCTTCGGAGTGAAGTTGCCGGAGCTAGGGGACAGGCCAAGCCATTGCATGGCCACGATAGGACTCAGCACCCTCTCCAGTCGTCGGGTTGGAATCATGTTGTCGGCTGGCGAGAGGACATTTAGGGAACTGAGTAAGTATATCTTTGGGGCTATTGATCTTAAAGTGGATTCGATGTAGTGGATATGATTTATATAAACTTATATCCATTATCAGTAATTTAGTCGTTTACAAAGAAGCTCAAACCTTGCTTTATGGACTAAAGAATAGTCATTGATCGTTGAATGTTAGTGCCACCTATTCTTGTCGTTGAAGTCTATATCACTACTTCTAGAGGGACAAAGTGGATTGTATTTTATTTATTGAAAGTGAAAGTTACTGCGTTGAAATAAATGGTCAACAAAAATAATATATTTATTTATATATTTTTTTCTTTCTCTAGCAAGCTTCGACTTAGTAGTGTGGCACCATCATATTTATATTTAAGTATAGTAATTTTTTGGTGTAACACATTCATTTTCTATATATCACTTTTCCAACGAGCACTTGGTTATTTCAAGTTCCATTATTGTACTGTGCTCCTGTCCACTTATTCCTCATTATGGCTGTTTGTTGCGATTGTATTAACAATTGTTATTTCTGAATTTCAATATTGGATATTATGTCTGAGTAATGTGTGCCTAAGTGTTTCGTATCCGTTTTATAATTTACTGTTTTATTATTATTTTTTGTAATGTATATGGCTTATAGTAGTTTTCTATTGTATGTTTTAAAACTAATTAAAAAAAATAATAAAACAGTAGATTATAAAATGGATACGAAATACTTAGGCACACATTACTCAGACATAATATCTAATATTGAAATTCAGAAATAACAATTGTTAATACAATCACAACAAACAGCCATAATGAGGAATAAGTGGACAGGAGCAAAGTAAAATAATGGAACATGAAATAACCACGTGTTGGTTTCTATAGTGATATATAGAAAATGAATGTGTAACACCAAAAAAAGTATTATACTTAAATATAAATATGACAGTTATTATAATTTTTGACAATTGGTGCCACATTACAAAGTCAAGGTAAATAATTGAACAATAAATAGAGTAAATTAGCAATGTAATAATAGTTCACTTTAAATATTTATCCTTTCAGTAAATATAAAGGAACCTCTGAAGATGTGAAAATTATCTCGAAACGTCAGATGTGATTAAAGAAAAAATGGAAGTTTAATTGCTTTAACGTTAAAAATATTTATTTTATTATATTTTAGGTGCCGTGAGCAACTATATAGGTTAGAGGCTCTTTATTGGAATTTCATTACATGTCTGTAGAGATTGAGTTGTTTACATGTGATTATTTTGTTAAGACATTTCTGCAAAGATTATGTTGTGATAGCTGCATAGGTTATTTCTGAGTAACATTGTGATTGTTTGGTTTAAATATGTCTGTAATAATTGTATTTTTCAGAAATTGGAATAAATTCTTCTGATTTACATTGTAGGGCTTGTCGATATCGTAAAAGATAAAGTCCTAGATGGATCCATGCTCGGATAATATTCTAAGATGTGTTGCCTTGTAACACTAGCGGATCCAGGATTTAATTTTGGGGGAGGGGCTTCAGATTAAATTGTTTTAGGGCAAAAAGTCACAATTTTTTTCTGTAAAACATGGTTTTATTTTACCATTTTTTTGGAGGGGGTAGGGGACTTCAGCTCGAAAGCCCTCCCCCCGTAAATCTGCCTGTGGGTTGTAACGACTATGTTGTAGCTGCGACATGTTGGCGAACTCTCATCGAGGAGGTGGCCATGAGTGAGCCTGGTAAGAACAGGGCATTCTGAGGCGTGTGATAACTGTTTTCCTCACCATTAATATTGGTTACATAATACTTATATTTGAAGGTCTATGATTTGTCGTTTTTGAAGTATGGTCTTGAAAGGAAAAACAAACGCCTAATAAAAAAAAAAATAGACGGAAATACGTTCATACTTGTATAAGTGAATGTAATTCATAGAATTTTCCACAATCCCTAATAAATCGGTTTAAGCTTGTCACACGGATTTGACTAATGACGGTCGACTAACAGGGAACCAAATTTGTTCCTTTTTATCTAAAATTATACCTCTCCAACGAATACAAAGCTTCTCTACATTCGATAGTGAGGAAGCTAAAAAATGTTAATACTTGAAACAAAATAGCAACAATCATATATTTATAAAAAAGCTTATATAAAGCAATGTGTATGTAATGTTATTCGAAAAAAAATGTGGAAAATAATGGAATTTAAGAATTTTTATCTGCCCGATCGTGGCTACTTCTGAAATTAAATACTCCATTCCAGACAAATGTCGCTTATTCAGAAAAATTTATTCTTCAGCGGAAGTAGGGATTCCATCCTTGACATTCCAAATTCTTCGATGTTGCATCCGAACGCAGCATTCTCGTCCAAGAAAGCCTTCGGTACAAATTAAAAGTAATAACAACATAAATTAGGAATCGAAAGTAGGGACTTTTAGTTGGTCACCTAATATCATAAGAAATAATCGATTCCTTCAAATTAAATATATGTAACACCGATTCAGCACCTCGATATTAGGTTACAATATTTATTATTTCAGAGAAATGAGTATTTTCAATCACATCTAAAAAAAAAAAAAAAAGAATAGGCAATTTCAGTTATTAATTTATTAAAAAAATGATTCGTAATAATTTAATGTTATTAGTTTTTCTGAAAACATTTGAATCTCTAGACAGAATTTCAAATTACTTATAAAAATAAAAACTGGAGGTCAATCTCAACTAATTGTTATATAAACTTTAACTAAATTAGGAAGCACTTCAACCTTTTTAAACAAAAGAAGTGTTTAAAAAGTGGGGTACCCTGGACTATTTGGGTTACGTGGTGGAATGATAACTATTTTTGAAGGAAAACGGCGGTCATTACCTTTAAAACAAAGTTGCAGTTATCCCTTCTTATTCAAGAAAAAACGTATTATTTAAAGAAATAAACAAACAACTTAAATTTTCTATTCACTTCACTTATCGGATTACTATTACGGATCAACAGCTATAGGAAAAATCTGGGGCGCGCAACACACAACTTTCAATTACATTGAATAGAAATTATTTTCAGGCAATGTTGGGCTATTATAAATTTTTTTAAGTGCGTTTTAAACGCAGCTAAAGCTTAAAGCTTACAGATAACGAATCATTAGGACCATTAAAATTACAAAAAGTCTATTTATTATATCGACGGTAAGCAATAAAAATGTAGTTTTATAAACCACATAACTTCAGTGTCTGGGACTTCCAGTTGACATAATGACTAACTCCAATTTCAACATTTTTGAGTAACGTCATTTTAGTGATATTTCTAGCTGTAAAATTTATATCTATAAAGACAGTGAGTAAGTTGATTCCAGAGTAGGTGATTGCAGTATTAATATATAGAACTGTGAATAAAGGTATAAATGTTGTCACTAGAAAGATTACTGAAATTGATAATAAATTATGTTGAAATTGGGGTATGTCATTCTGTCATCCGAAAGGCCCATATATGAGCTAGAGAGATTTAAAAGTACATCTGAATATTTAACCGATAAATGATTATGGATTGTAGGACTATCAGTTATTTTCCATAGTAAAGTTTACTAAAATAAAATTGCGAGATTTTCATTGCCTGCCATGGATAGGTCAAAAGTTGTCACACTAATTGAAAGTGGATAATGTTGGGATTTCACAAAGGGAAAATTCATCACTAATTTAATTTTATAAAAGGTTACTTGATGATTTTTTGGAATTAACGGCCAATAGACACCTAATTATTTAAATATAAAATCATATCTGGACTTATTAAACTACAGCAAATTTATGTATTTAAGGTCATAAACATATCCATGAAATATTTTTATATTTCAATTTTTCTTTCACACAAGTACAATTAAATAGTATTTTAACTAATGACATTGGCATGATTCAGTGGATTTAAAATGCTTTTTTTTTCAAACTTAGAAAAAAAATATAAAAGTTATAAAAATATAAAAGTTTACATTTATTAGGAAAATTTCATTTCATTTTATTGGAAACGTGATTTACGTTAAATAATGTTAGTTTTCTGAAATTATTATTTATATTTTTTTCGTCACTCTCCGTTACCTTCTACAATTTTATTTATTTGATATTATTTTGTCTAAAATTCGCCGCTTTCCAATGATATATTATAGGTATACCTTCTAACTATTATTTCCGGAGGTACATTTTCTACCTGGATAAGCATTTTTCTTTTTTTCCCCACTTTCTGTCAATAAAGGGGAGTTATTTTTAAAAATAAACCATATTAAAGGTTCTTTAGAGGAAGATGTATATAAACATTGGGAATTTAAGCCCTGTAAAGTGACATCAATGGGGATAATACCTAAATGATATTAAAGACCATTTAATTATACAGTGATACACCGGGTTTAATCAAAATCGTTAAAGCCGTTTTTCAAAAAATTGTAAAAATGTGTTTCACCGTTGATATAAAGTGCCACTTCCGGTTAGTTGATTTTAACGAAAAAGTTGCTGTGACATCCAAGGCATATTAAATACGTAATATCAGTTTCGTAATATGAATCAATAACAAGCGAATAATTAAAATCGCCAGTTTATTGCAAAAACTCAAAAACTCACTTTGTACATTTTTGATGGAGCTCAACTTTACATATATATATTCAACAAACGCACAATATTCTGATTTCACAAAGGAAAACTTCATCAAAGTTCTTTAGTAATTTAAGTTTATCAAATCTCACTTAATGATTTTTTGTACTAAACCAAAGATATATATCACTACACAAATATTTGAACAAATGGAACAGAACTTTGGGATATTGCAGAACGTCTTCACGCAAAATACAAACACCACAGTCCAAAATCTTTTGGAAAATTATAAACACACCTTAGTTTATTTCATATCATAGGATACCAAAACACATTAATATTCCAACAGCAATGTCGTACATTCAAGAAAGTACACCACGTTTTACTCTTCAACTTGTTGTCACTCCTCCATCTTCCATATAATACGACTCGAACGGAGATTAAATGAATAA